ATGTCAACATTTTAAATCACTAGACCCAAAGAAGAAAATAAAAAATTATGTGACTATCACAGATCTATCTCCTCCGTGTGTTTTAAATATAGAAAGCAGGAAGTCAAACATCTGGCAAGCGAGGCTGTGTGCTGGATGTGTGGTGGCCAGAAAAACCAAGAAGAAAAAAAAAAAAGCATTAGTCAGAGTCCAGAAAAATGATGGTTTACTTTTACTGAGTAATATTTAGAGACAGGGACTGAGGAAGGATGGGAGGCAGCTGTTACAACACAGATTGGTTTTTTTTTTTCTTTCCTAAATTCAATCCTTCAGAAATTCTCAAGAAAAGGAAAACTTAAGAAATAAATTTCAATTTATTTAAAGATATTTTAGAGTATAAAATAAAATAGACCAAGCCTCCTATTTTAAAAACACAGCAAATCGCAGAGGTTCACTGGAGATCCACAACCAGGTGCCAGAACTCAGTTAGAAGGCCTACTTACTTTTAATTTAAAACAACAACAGCAGGAGGAAGAGGAAGAGGAAGAGGAAGAGGAAGAGGAGATGGCCCAGTTGGGAAAATAGGCCCAGGAAAGCAAAAGGATTTAAGTTCAGATCTTCTAGCACCCATACAGGAAACAAACAAGCAAGCAAACAAACAAAAACAACCAGACCTGGCACTGTGTGACTGTCACTCCAGTGCTCGAGGGAAGAGACAGTAGATTCCGGGGACTAGGTGGCCAACCTGTCTAGCCATACTGGTGAGCTTCAGGTTCAGGGAGAGGAGAGTGACTGAGGAGGATACCTGGTATCAACTTCGAGCCTCCACAAGTGCACACTTAGGCGTGTACACACATGGGGGAGGGGTGCAGAGGCAGGACTTCAAAAATTTTAAATGATAAAAAAAATCGAGCAGGATTCACCGTACCAGGTATAGTTGAAGGTATCAAGAAACCTGAATTCTGAGATTGCCAGTGGGGAACATAATGGCCCAATCATTCTGGAACATAGTTTTAAGAGCCATGGAAACACTGTATCATCCAGCTATTGCTAAATATCTATCCAAGAAGAGAAACAAAGCGGGACACGTGGCTACAAAGACTTGAACTCAGGTGCTCATGACATCTGGAAACACTAGAAGCAATGCCAATGTCATGAGCCTGTGAGTGGATAAACGGTTATGGAGTGAGCTGGCATGGTGACACACACCGGTGACACACACACCAGTAAACCCCAGCAGTCAGGAGGCAGATGGGTCTCTTACAGTTCAAGGCCACCCTCGAACTACATAGTGAGTTTTAGGGCAGCCAGGGCTACATAGAGAGACTAGTTAAAAAAAAACTAAAATAAATAAATAAATAGATAGATAGATAAATAAATAAATAAATAAATGTGGGCTATCCACTGGGGGACAATATTATTCATCAATAAAAGGAATAAGCTGCAGGTACTTATGATAACAGGAATGAACTTTAGCCAAATGATGCTGAAACAGAAACCTGACAGAAAAAGAGAACATTGTTCCTGATTCAGCTTAAGTAAAGGTGCAGCCAATCCACCGTCAGGTCTGTGGCTTCCTGATCTGGGGAGGGAGATTCCGCTCTTGTCTCAGGAGGGTCTTAGGGTCCTGGAGATATCCCATATGCTGACTGTGATACTGGTTTCAAGGATGTATACATAGATCAAAGCTCACTGAATTAAGGCTGGAGATGTACTTCATTGAATGATCACATTTGGTGTGTACAGCAGGCCCTGGGCTGGATCCCTGGTAACACGTCCTCATACACACACACACACACACACACACACACACACACACACACACTCTTACCAAATTGCCAAGGATTGTGCGTTAATTCTAACTCACTAAAGCTGTTAAAATGAATAATATTTATAAGTGAGGAAAAAACCGTTCTATCCCAGGACCACACACACGCTAACATATTCTGGAAGGAGGATCATTCAAGGGGTCATGGGATGTCAAAGTTGTCTAAGCTTGTCTGGTCTTTTGCTTTTCCATATACATTTCAAAATCAGTTTTTTCAACTTTTCGAAGATAAGACTGCTGGGCTTTGCTCAGTACTACACTGAACTATAAACCAGTGAGGGTGTGACATTTTGCTAGTCTCAAGTCTTCCCACTTAGAAATAAGGTGCGTCGTTCACTTAGCTAATAGCTGTCTAGTTTATGTTGTGGTTTATCATAGTTTCCAGTTACAATCAGAGTAAAGTGAACCGTGACCCTCACCAGAGCATGCTACCCTTAATTTCATCTGCAGGACCTGGATGGGACCTCATGTGGAAGATAGGGCTCTCCAGATATATTTAAGCATCTTGGAAGCATCATTCTAGGTTACCCAGATGGCCCTACCGCCATAGAGCTCGTGTGTGAGGACGAGGGGAAGAGGCCAGGAGAGAGAGAGACAGGGCCATGGAGAAGACAGGTGTGAAGATCATGGCTATGGAAACATACGGGAGCTAATCAGTATTTTAGCAACAAGCCAAACACTGAGGACGATGGGAGCCAAGGAAAGTGAGAAGGCTTCTGAAGGGACTACAGCCCTCCTAACACGCTACTCAGACTCACAAACTAAGCAGAGTCCTGAGAGAACTCATTCCTGGTAAGTCACGAGGTTTGATAGCTTGTAGCAACTAAGAGGGCTCATACAACAAGCTGTTGATAGCTCCTGAGGTTCATGTCCTGGTATCTTGGCTTTCAGATGCTAGGGTAAGTGGCATTGTCTTTGCAATGTCAAGTTTGGATTGCTGATGTTTGGAAAGGCAGATACAGTGGTGTCTCAGAATTCCTGAGGCTTAGGTGGCTTCAGGCCACCCTGGGCTTTAGAAGGTGATACTCTCTAAAAATCAGAGAAAGGAGGAAGAAAAAGAGGAAGTAAGAGAAATGAGGAGGAGGAAGAAGGAAGGTGGAAAGACAACTGCTAAACTCATTTTTAAACTTTTGTTTGTGGGATACAGATTCTTTTCTCATACAATATATCTTTCTAATTTACTTACTTACTTACTTACTTACTTACTTACTTACTTACTATTTTTTCAAGACAGGGTTTCTCTGTGTGGCCCCATCTGTCCTGAAACTCGAGCTGTAGATCACACTAACCTAGAGATCCACCTGCCTCTACCTCCCAAGTGCTGAGATGAGCACCACCACATTTTGATTACAGTTTCCCTCCTCCCTCCATAAACATTTTAAAAAATTGCAGTATCTCCTTGGCATCACCAGATCTCCTGTGCACGTTGGCATCACTATTCTGTGATGGTTTGTTCACGTCAGGATAAAAATCAGGTCTACACAGGATCTTTCTGATCTGCAGATTCCTCTCTCATTTTCTCTTGCGACTTGTTTATCGAAGGAAATTGGTCCTTAAGCCTGTAGTTTCCCATTGAGTGGATACCTATACACTGTCTTCAATACAATTTCCTGTCCCCTGATAAACTTGATAAACGTGACTCAGGCATAGGGCCTTCAGGAATTCATAATGTCTTTTGTGTACATGTTTGTGTGTCGGATTTGTACATGGGTGTGCATGGATATCTGGAAGGTCTTGAGTTTATATTTGGGTCCCTCTGCCCGACATGTTGAGGCAGGGGCTCCTGATGAGCCCAGAACTTTCTGTTTTTGCTAGCCACACTAGCCAGTTTGTCTGGGGACCTCCTATCTCTACTCTCTGAAGAGCTGGAATTATAGGTGGCACGCACACGCATACACACACACACACACACACACACACACACACACACACACACGCACTCAAGACCTAACAAGATACTCACTTCTGGTACGAGTTGCTTTCAACAAATCTGGTGGCTATCCGGCTTCATTTTCCTTGTAAATGTCAGGGATTTTGTCTGGTTATCTAATTTTTTTCCTTTTTCCTTTGAAATCCAGTAATTAAAAAGAAAATTTTTTTTGAACTCTTATTGGTTCTTTGTGAACTTCACCATCATGTACTGCCTCAACTCCCCACCCTGTCCATACCTACAGCAGCAGGTGGGAGACAGGGCTAGCCCTCCTGCTTTCATGACCCCATGGCCAGCTCTCCTTCCTGCTGCAGGCGGTGAGAGGAAAAGGGGGAGGAGGGAAGAGGGTATCTCTCCCTAGTCCACACCACCACAGGGAGACTAGTGCTAGGACCAGCTCTCCCAGACTTGTATCCTCCGGGCCTGCTCACCCTCAGCTCCTGAAATGCTTTGCTCTCCCAAGTCCTCCAGCTGGCTAGGGGCTGAGACGTCTCTCAGATTCTCAGGCCTCTAGGCCCAGGTCTCCCATGAAACCCAGGTGAGGGGCGGGGCCTGTTCAGCACAGCTCTCAGACATCGACTTGTTTCTAGTGACAGCTCAGACCAAGGACACCTACCTGTCCTTTGGTGGTAGCAGATCCATACTGCTGCAGGGTTGTGGGCTCAGACTTGGACCCCAGTGTCAGCACAGACCAGGACCCCACCATGGTCCTAGGTGGCATCACCGGCTACTCACATCAGGTTGTTCCTCTCCAGCTCTGCCTCTCTTAGTTGTGCCCACATACTTTGGTTTCTCTTTTCTCTTCCATTTCTCCACCTCTTACTTGTTTCTCTTAGCAGCACCCGAGGTCTCTGAGTGTCTGGGTTTGTTTCAGGAATGATCTCAGGAGTGCTATGGCCCCCTCATGCATTATGGCACCAGACAGGAATCATCTTGATATGGTCTGCCCCTTTCAGTAACCTGGGTGGCACCAGACTGGTGGTCATCTTAGGCTCGCTCCCTGTCTTGGTCCCATTGGGCCAGTCTGGTGGATGTGTCAGACCTGCTCTTCCTGCCCACTCAAGTGGCCATCTGTCTTGGGCTCACTCCTGCTGTGGGACCCTTGGTCCCAAGTGGGGTTCTTCTAGTCTCTGGCTTGCTTCCCATCCTGTGAGTCTGTCCAGACCTGCTGGCATTTAAGTGGTGGTTGTATCAGGCTAGCTCCCTGCCTGGGCTCCCTGGTGCCAGACTGGTGATAGTCTCAGGCTCAATTTTTTAAAAAGGAATGTTAGGCTACTAATTACTCAGATGTCCATAGGTCAGAACACCAAGTGTAGACATAGCCTTTCTCCTCTCTGCCACCTGCTGACGCACATGTGACACAGCAGCCATATCTGTAGTGCCTCTAGGGGCGGCAGTAATTTTTCTAGAATATTCCTCATTGTTAGTCAAATGGGTGGAGTGATTTTTTTTTTTTAAAGTAAGAATACAGTTTTAAGTTGCATTTCACCAGATAAGAATTTTTTTTTTAAAGTTATCTTGCTTGGTGGAAGGTTTTTCTTGGGTTAGTTTTGAAATTTTATAGAGATCCTCTACTGTTATGCATCCCTGAGACTTCAGTGTGTGTGTGTGTGTGTGTGTGTGTGTGTGTGTGTGTATACACGTCACATGTGTGTAGATCAGAGGATAATCTCTGGTGTTGTTCTTCAGTCACCGTCTACCTTTTGTCTGAGACAATTTTTTTGTCTCTTCCTGGCTTGGAAGTCGCTGATTAGCCTAAGCTGGCTGGCCACTGAGACCCGGGGAATCCACCCCTCTCTGCCTCCCCAGCACTAGGACTGAGAATAGACACCACCATGCCCAGCCAGCCTTTTGACATAGGTTCAGGAAAATGAGCTCAGGCCCTTGTACTTTCATAGCAAGCACGAATTGAGCTCTCTCCCAAGCCCCATTCCGAGGACTTCACATTTCTTTGAGGTAATTGTAAGGCTCAAACTGTTTCTGGAATCCTAAGATAGCATGTGAACTTTTCGTTCTCATGAATATATAGGGGGGGCTCTCCAGCTGCAGCAAGGCATGTGACACTCTAACAGATCGCACGAGACGGCAGCTAGCTGTGAGAATCCAGCTGTCTTTTCTTAAATAAGAGACTTGGAAAATAATTTTAAGTCATGCTGTTGTCAGCGTCCCATTGCTGGGAAAAAATATATATCTGACAGGATCATTTTAAAGAAAGAAAGATTTATGGGACAAAAGGTCCATAGTTGAAAGGTTTCTATCTCTGGGGACTTGGCCTCACTAGCTGTGTCTGTCACAGCACAGTGCCACAATCTGGAGAGTGGAGGAGGATCTGTTCACCTTGTGTACAGGATGCAGAGACTGAGGAGGCAGATGGACTCTAGCTAGAATCCCGATTGATTATCTCTCCCAGAGACACGCCCCCAGTGCTCTAGCTCTTCCAGAGACACGCCCCCAGTGACCTAACTTCCTTCCATCAAGCTGTACTTCCTAAAAGTTCCCTCAGCCCCCAACAGGGCCTCGGCTGGGGATGAGGTCCTCCACAAATGGGATGGCTGCAGCCATAACCAGTGAGGTTGAGAGGCAGAGGCTGAAGATGAGCTTGAGCAGCAGCCGGAGGCCTGCAGGCATCCAGTTCCTTTCCAAACTACCTCCCCAAGCTTTTCCAACAGCTTGGAAGGTCTCTGAACTGCCTCTTAGCCATTCACACGGGGTTCTGATGAATAGCACGACTAGCATCAGGCTTCCTTCTGGACACATAAAGCTTATCAAGGGTATCTGGTGTGGCTCTCTGTGCTCTGCTTCCCTCTTATGAATTCTGTTTTAAATTATTTCTTCTCCTGCTTTACTAAAAGTAGCTAAGAGAAGACAGGCAGCCATCCAGAACACTTTGGGGCTTGGAGATTTCTTTGACAGAAGGACTCTGCCAAATATACTAGTCCATAATCCCTACATTCTGACTTCTAGAAATGTCTAGAACAGGCTCCGTGCTAGAGTGCTCGGAGATGTTAATATTAGTAGCCAAGCTTGGAATAAAAGCCCCATGCTTAACGACGTTCAGCTCTCAAGAGAAATCAGGACCACTTTACAAATTTCAGTCCACAAAACTGGTGTCACTTATGAATTTAGTTTACTTGCTAAAGTCACACACTGTGAAAAGATACAAGTATCTTCTGTTTCTGGTGGGGCCCACTTACCATATGACCACTAAGAATGAGTTAAGGCTACACCATCAATCATGGCGACACCACTCCAGAACTATTGCAGGTCTTCAATAACCCAGCTCCAGGCTACCTATGCACTTTGACTTGCCATGGCGACATCCTATGGTGCCAGTTTCTTAATAACTAATGAATCATTTTACCTCTGTCCAGGCTGAGAAGTCAGGCTAAGGGGCTGGCCCCTTGTGGGAGGGCTGACTTCTGCTACCAAGATGGACATTTCAACCTGGGGGTGGGTCTTGGGGGGAGGACATGGTGTCTTCACGTGGCAGAGAGGAAAGTAGGTTAGACTACTTTGGTGGTGGCAGGATCTGGTCATGAGGACAGGGCCTCATGATGCAAGCAGCTTCCCAGAGGCTCTCTCTCAGCACGGTTGCTATGAAGATTTAGTCCCTATCACATGAATTTGGTACCCATTTGGACCATGGTACCTTGGCCCTTGGATAAAGGGACTCATGGTTTCCATGTGGCACACAGCCCAGCACAGAACAGGCACAACCAAGTCCCTTACATTTGTAAAGGAAGCCAGTGTGCAAGTGTAGGATGCTCTTTAGAATGACAGTCATCTAAGTTAGACCTTACCAAAACCCAGGGGATAGCTCCCTGCCAGTCACAGGAACATTTAATATTAGGTTGAACCACACTGAACGCCCAATTTGACCATTTCTTCCCTACAGAAATGGTCCCTCTACATGAATCTGCAATCAAAAGCCTGGGTGTTTTTAAATGTTTTCTTTTGGGGTTTGGAGAGATGGCTCAGAGGTTAAGAGTGCTGGCTGCTCTTCCAGAGGACCCCAGTTTACTTCCCAGCATCCATGTTGGCTCACGACTGTCTGTAACTCCTATTCCAGGGATCTGACACCTTCATACAGACAGACATACATGCAGGCAAGACACCGATGTACTTAAAAATGAATTTTAAAAAGATTGTTTAAATTTTTTTCTCTGATGTGTGTGATGTCTGTGCATGGGTTCTGGGTGCATGTGCATGCCTGAGGCTGCTGTTGATAGTCTTCCTTGATCACTGCTCACTTTGAGGAAGGGTCTCTCAAGTGAACCCACAGCTAGCAGATACAGCTAGTTTGCCTAGCTAGCTTGGTTGGGTGGGTCCTATCCCTACCTTGTGAGCACTGGAAGCTCAGAGGCCTGTATGCCCACCCTGGGTTTATATAGTCTAGGGAACTTCAACTTTGGTCCTTATGCTTACTTACATGGCAAGAGCTTTAGCCATTGGATATTTCCCAAACGCCTGTTTTTAAAAAGGAATTAAATGAAAAAAAAATCACAATAAATCAAAGAGTAGAGGGCTGCAGAGTTGGCCCAGCAGTTAAAATAGATTACTGCTCATATAGAGGACCTGAGTTTGGATTTCAGCCCCCATACAATGGTTCAGAGACTTCTACAACCACACTTCAAGATCTAAGGTCTCTTCTTACCTCTATAGGTACTGAACTTACATGTGTAAGCACATGTGTGTGCATGCGAGACACACACACACACGCACACAAGTAAAATCTTATTTAAAATATGGTAGGGACACTTGCCTAGTATGTACACAGGCCTGGGTTTGATTCCCAACACTGCACACACCAGGTATAATCTTAGTCCTTGGGAGGTGTGGAAATAAGCCATGTCTGCAAGGACTGACTGACTGGTTAGTACTGCAGAACTGTAGAGAGATCACAATGTTGCATGTCCAGGGGCTAATTATCTTATCTTGGGCTAAGTTCTGGCCCTCTGGAACAGCTGGTCCTTGTTCCACCTGTGTTGGAACCTAAATCTTGTGACAACAGATAAAAGCCTTTTTAATCTATTAACTTAGCAGACTACTAGCATGCAACAACCCAGAAGCAAAGAGTGCCATCACCTAGAATCTTGGGCCTATAGAAAAGTTCCCCATCTTGTTGTGCCTGCCTTTCTGATGTACCCACCAGTATACATTAAATGTATGGTTTTGTTTTTGTTCTTTAAAACATCATTAAACTGCTTCCCCATTAGAGCACAGAATTTGGAGTGACTTGTCTGTGTTCCTGGGCCATGGTCACTCTCATGTGCTCCAGAATCAACCACGCCTTTTATTCCTTTGAGGTGGATGTCTGAGGTGAGGTGATTGATTGGAAGGCCATCCTCAACAATGTAGAGGATTCAAAGCCATCCCTGAATACTGGACGCTCTCTCCCACCCATTCCATGTGTCCACCCATCAGAGACAAACTGCAGGCTAATGGTTTGGTTATGCAAGTAAAGATGAGTTAAGTGTGAGTCACTGTGGATACACAAAACTTAATTACAAGAGGTGTCAGGATATTTCAATCTTCTTGGCCCCTCACCCTTCTTGCCCTCCTGAAGTCGGGCCACAGGGGAGGTAAGGCACACCTCCAGGTCCTTCTCTATCTCCTTAGGAAACCATCTCCTTTCCTGTAATGATCCCTGTGTCTCTGGACAACTCATTGTAAACGGGCACAAGACCCTGGAAATGTCAGCATCTGCCTGCCTTCTAGACGCCTATCTGTGCCTGTAATAATAACACAGCATATTCACAAAAAACTGGAAAGCTAGCTGAATATACGATCCAGTAAATCAGCACAGAGTATGAGTTATGCACAGAGACAAATTCTGCATCAGGAGTGGCAATTCTTCCCAGAGGGCAGTTAGTGAGTCTCGGAAGCAGCGGAAACCGACAGTATCGAGAATCACCTGCTTCGCTTGGTGAGAGTGGTAGGCTGGATGGAGACCTGCACACGGTGCTGGCTCTGCCTTTTCCTGTGTGTGCTGTTTCCACACTTGTGGAAAATAGGCACTTTTTAATGGAATCCAGGACTCTCAGTGCCCAAGGGGCTCTGGTGTCATGAGGGTACTCTAGACTGGAATGGTCCACCAGTCAAGAGCTTGCAGGCTACAGTGTGGGCAGGAAGCGCACAGTGGGAGTCTGCCTTACTTGGTGTCTTCATCACTTGGTGTTCCCAATGCTGTTCAGGATGCTAAGAGGAATGATGTACTTCCTGTCCTCGGTGAGAAGAGCACACTCAGTATGGGGTGCTCTCAATTGCTTTCTTAAGCCAAATTTGCAACCTTAAAATTTCTTCAATATGTGATGTCTTCATCCTTTTGGCTAGAAAAAAGTTTTTATTCATTTAGATAGAGGAAAGCTAGAATCTTGTCTGCCTGGATTTTGCTTTAAAAACTGTTCCTCTTAGACCCTGCTCTCTCTCCATCATGGCCCACTACACCTGAAGGTGAGCACAGCTAGTTAACTCAGCTGCTAGTTCAGTTGAGAGCAACTCCTTACCTGTATCCCAGGAGAATGCATGATAGTGAAGAACCACAAGACGGGGCAATGGCTGGTTCTTTTCACCTTTATTCAAATAAGCACAATACCTGCACAGAACCTGACCGTGTCTTCTCAGACCACTGTATTTGGATTTTCTGACATGCAATGGTGTCAGCACATGACTGCTGCAGAACTTAAAACAAGTGTTGCAAACGCACAGGCGCAGCTGGCTGTAAGGAGGGAGGGTGGTGAAGGTCCGTGGTGTCACTTGTCATTCAAGGCTGACAAGAGGTGAAGACAAGCATTCCCTTTGAACACCAGCTCTTAGAATGTACACAGGACACAGAATGCAAGGACTTCCTGTTGTTAGGCTAGGCACTTAAAAAAATACTTCAGGACTGGGTACGCTGGTTCATTAACCGCCACCTTATTTCTTTTCCCAAGAAGAAAATTCAAAGTGAAGGAAACTGCACTTGGCCTTTGTCATCAGAGTTGAGGCTAATGATCAAAACAGTTTTGGGGACACTAGACTGTAATTCAGAAAGGCATGGGTTAGAGAAACTTCATTTGTTCTAATTTAATCTTGCTTGTTTCCTAAAATTCTGAGAATCAAAGAGTTACTTCTTTAGTTTGAATTGGTCTAGTTATCACCTTTGTCAAGAAAACTATTACAGCATGGGCTCTGCTACACCTATGTATTGATTTAGTTTAAATAAGGCCTCAATTGCTGATTACTAGTTTAATCTAAAGGAACAAGTTTGGCCAGTCACCTGTCCTTATTTGAAGCCAGTTAGGGTGAGTGCAACCTGGGGTCAAAGTCAACTTAAAAATTATAACCCTTACAGCAAACCAGCCACTGTTTGCGGGCGCCAGAGGTCAAAGCAGGCCCGGGCAAGTGGGCTTGTAAAGGGCAGCTTGGAGCTGGGCACAGGCCAGGCAGTAACGCCGGCCAGCACTCCTAACAGAAAGTGGCCAGCCTGACTTGCTCCAGCTCTGAGCGGCCTGTGCAGGATGGCCGTACTGCCCCCAGAAAGCAGGGCTGGCTAGCAGCCTGCCCCCAGCACTGCTCTCCTTTCTGCACAGTCCCTGGAAGGACAAAGGCCACTTCTGCTCCTTAGCAGCTGCTCACACTGGCCCTTCTGCTCTGTTTCTCTGCACAGCAGTGAGCTGGCTCAGCAGCAGGTTGGGGAAGCAGAATAAGGTTTCTGGGTTGAGAGCTGTTCCCTCCCCTGACAGCCAAAGGAGGATTGTCTGTAAGCCTGACAAAGAGCAGGCTTCCTTTCTACAGGTACAAAACCCCAACCTCTCCAGTCAGTCTAGTAAAGTAAACCGAATCACCAAATCACTGAAAATAATAGCCTTTGAAAGATTTTGCCACATCTGTGAAAAAGAAAAGAAAAACAAAAAGCTTCAAAATTTTTAAAAGTCATTTCAAATGTATTAACAGCCTTCTTAGTAACAAATATAAAACAGTTTAAGACACTTGGTGACTATCTTAGGTCATATCTCTGAGGGAGGGGAGACATGTCTTGGGATGGATACATAGCGAAGTTTTACTACTAAAATGATCTATTTGGTAAAAACGCCACAAAGAGTTTTGTCAAAAAAAAATAATAACTGGTTTGAAAGGGTTATATTTTTTTCTCCAAAATGTCAAAAAGAGTAAGGACACAGATATACTTAAAATGTCAACACAACGATATCAATTCAGTAAATAAATAAAATGGCACCAACTTTATGGCAACTTTTCAAGACACAGCTCAAAGATATTTTAAAATAAATAACAAAAAAACAAACAGTCACTCTCAGCACAGGAGACAGAACTGACGAGGGACGGAGGCAAGGAAGCACAGCCAGCTTTGGTCCACGCAGAGCAGAAGCGCCGCCCTTAGGAGGGAGGGATGCTTAAGCTGGATGCTTGTCCAGAGAAGGAAGCCTCAGAGGAGGCCAGGCCTCAGGCTGTCTTTTGCCATTTTTCTCTTTTCTTCCAACGTGTGCTTAAATATTTTTTTCAAGGTGTCGTAAACTATTGGTCCATTTTCAGAATCAAAATTAACCTGGTGACAAAGAAAATAAAATTAAGACACTGTAGTAAAAAAAAAAATCTAATGAGTTTGTTTGCAAAGAAAAGGATTTGGAAAAAAATAACAATAAAGATTTATATAAAATACATATAGCTAAACATATATGCTAAGTTTCATGCATTCTAGCTGGAAGACTATATTACAGCTGTCAACCACACCCATACTAACCTTTGACTGAAAACTCATTCGATGTCATGCCTGGAGTTTACTACAATCCAGGCAGGAGACACCAGGGACGTCAGCAGTGCTGTGAGGCTGGGACCAACCACTGATGCTGCACAGGAAGTTTCCTTGTAAAGGAGGCACACCATGTCCAGAAGCCCTAAGGCTGCACTGGACTACGAGACCCAAACAGTGTGGCTTTCCACCTGTCACTATGTAGCTCTGTCCTTTATCTAATGTTTGTGGCAATGGTCCTCAACCTTCCTAATGCTGCAACCCTTGAATACAGTTCCTCATGTTGTGATGACCCTAGCCACACAATTATTTCATTGCTACTTCATTTCTGTAATTTTACCACTGCTGGGAAGGCATGGTTTACACACCTGGGGCCTCTGCCACACCTCTCGCTCTCTACTCAGGAGTGATGGTACAGGACAGAGAACCCTGCACTGTCCAGAGGAAGGTATGTCCTACTGAGAGGGAATCAGGGTCCTGGCACAGTTTCTCCCCTCTACAAACTTCTCCTTCTTAGACAAATTATAAAAAGGAAAAGGCTGTTCACTTCCTCAGCAACAGAAAGGATGCAGGATGCTGTTCTACTTGTCTGCCAGTGTCTTGCTGATGGTGTCCACAAGGCTCATAGGTCAGAAATAAACAACTGCATTTCTCCTAGAAGCATGTATTTCATATTTTTGTGGGTACTAACTTGGTAATTTGGACGTTTAACTCTGCTTAGATGATTCTTGTTTAAACCCAAGGTGGAACTGGCTGGATATACAAATACCTCGGACTCCTATAAACAGGATTTAAAAAGACTTGCTGAATACCCAGCTGTTTCCCTCTTTGCTCCCACATTATCCTTCAACAACCTGACAGGTCAGCTTTGTCCTGATACCACTGCTAGGAAAGTCTGTAACTACTTACAAAGCACATTTGCATTACAGGGAAGGGAAGTCGACCTTTGGATCCCTGACTTAGAGGGGGTGTGACTGGTGTGGAGGACACAGGGACTCACCTTTGTGAAAGCTTTAATGGCGTGTGTAAGGCAAGCTTCCTCCAGCTCCACCGGAAGCGTCTGCAGGCTCACGATGCAGTGCAGCACACAGAGGATGGTCTGGTACTGCCCCTGTGGACACAGTCATCATTACAGATGGCTCTAGGGGACCAAGTGCATGAGTTTCGCAGTAGGATCAAGTCTGATCTCACTTAGATACCGGCCATAAACCTCGAGCAAGCCACTCGCTCTACCGTGCCTTGTCAGTAAAAGGGGTCCTTCATCTCCAAGTACTATCAAGATGGACAGGGGTGAAGGTGGAATTACTTCCCCAAGGGGTTGGTCACAGCTGCCCAGCAAGGTTAATCTCTTTCCTTCTCTACTATCTCTTGCTTTATCTCTGTCATTTAACCACTGAGAAAATATCCTAAGAAAAGGATTCTACACACAGAAAAAAGCCTTACCTTACAAGATATACACATAAGGCTGGGAAGATGGCTCAGGTAAAGAACTTTCTGTGCAAGCCTGAAGACTGGAATTCAGATTTCTAGAACCCATGCAAAAAGCCTGATGGGCATGAGGGGCCTGGCTATAAACACAGCCAGGGAGGTGGAGATATGGCCCAGTGGTTAGGAACATGTGCTGCTCTTGCAAAGGACCCGAGTTCAGCTCCCAGAACCCACAGCATGTGGCTCACAAGGCTTGTAACTCCAGCTCCAAGGGAATTGGATGCCCTCTCCTGGCCTCTGTGAGCATTGCATGCAAATATATAAACTTGCATACAGACCATACACACAAAATTGGGGGATAAAAGAAAAGAAAACCCACTGAATTAGACATAAATAGAAAATTCATTCTGTTGGTAATGGATTTTTTGCACATGTGTGAAGCTTATATCGAGGCCTTAATTAACTTCATTAGCTGGTCCAATTGCTACTTTACCTTCTCTAGTAAAAACAGGGCTTCAGCAGCATCTGCTTGTCTGTGGACCAGCATGTCCACATCCTCTTTGGTGATTACAGGCTCTTTCAGTTGCTCCACCCAAGACCACATCAAACTGCACAAGATGAAAGGGTCTCTCTCACCACATATTCGTTCCCAGGCTCCCTCTCGGGAATTCAGTTCTTTCTACAAAGGAAGAGAGAGAGAGGGATGGATCTGGGGAAAGAGAGGTGTATGGACCCTAACTAGAGGATCCTTAAGCATGTAAGAGTGAAGGCTCGGCTCTGAGGTGCAATGTGGACCTTCCCTGGGGCCTGCACCTCTAGATAAAGGTGCTTGAAGCCACTGCAGTATGCAGCCCTTACTGATTCAGAGACCATAGAAGTAGTTCAAGACGGTGCCTTCTTTCTTGAATACACATAAATAAATAATTAAACTCATATTTGAATTGTCTCCAGATATTTGGGAGTGTTTACACAGCTTCTCATTTGATTTTAAACTTCCCAGATCTCAGGGTGATGGGCGTGTTACCTGCTCTATAGGATTCTGACAGGCACTTGGAAAAACACATACCACATTTACTGGCTTTAATGCAATATTCTGTGTGTGTATTCATAGTTTGGGTTAAAAGGTTTAGCTAAGATCCCAGACTAACTTATACATGGTCTCTTATTTTTAATCTGCCATTTTACTTCATTTGCAGTTAGATTTCTGTTTTGTTTACCAGATGCCGGAGAAAGAAGACTTGATCTTGAACTACTTCTATGGTCTCTGAATCAGTCAGGGCTGCGCAGTACAGTGGCTCTTCTCTCAGTAGTTAGCTAGCCCTGTTTGTGGCAGGGTTGACCCTGGGCTTGGGGAAGCTCCTGTGGGTTTGTGTGTGTGTGTGTGTATGTGTGTGTGTGTCTGTCAGACTCAAGCCAGGAGGTACTGGTCTTTAATGAATCACACTGCCAGCCTCACATGAGATCTTAAGCTTACCTTATAAAAAAAATGAGTTAAAACTTTTCTGAGATCAGATTTATGTTTTGTTAAATTGAATAAAAATTTTCAATTGTAAAAAACCAAGTAGTTATTAACCCCCATTTAGTTGTCCAGTAAATGCTTGCAGCATGTACCACAATGTGACAGAAACAGTAACACAGGACTTATGTCTAACCTCACAGCAATCCCACAGGGAGGCTCCTCACAGATAACACCGAGATGGAAACAAGCTCATGGCCTGAGAACGGTGGGGAAGTACTCCACTAGCTTGCCTTACCCCACGGCCTATGGCACAGGAACCTGCCAGTGCTGGGCTTCCTATTCTCTCCCACACTTGGAGCGGTCCATACTCTGGCCTATCTCACACACTGTGTACAGTACAAAATAGCCTTTAATCTAAGCTTATGGATATATGAGGAGATAAACTGGGCCAAACAAAAACTGTCTTGTGAAATAAGCAGTGCCCCGTGATGCTGGCTGGAGCTTCCCGCTGAGGCATAGGTGTGACGAGAGACGGACTAACCAAGCTGTACTCTAGCTCTCCCACGCCAACCATGGCCTCCAGGAAGCCGCTTGACCTCTGGAGTCCTTAGTTTCCTCTTCTGTGACACGGAGTTCACGGAGGTAACAAGGAGTCTATAAACAGTCCACCTGAGTCTAGGGTTACTGAAGCACATGGCGTATTCACAAATGGGCTAGCACAGGCACACACAGCGTCACGCTGCTCAAGTCATGGTCATTTTACCACTGCCCAGAGTTGGATTTTTAGGGACTCAATGTTCTGAAATAAATCTAAGAAGGTAAGAAAGTAAAAGGCTCGTGGCTCCAGAAAATGTTTTTATACATGAAACAACCTGTCTCAGACCAAACCTGTATCGTGTGGCTATTGTTTGAGACAGGGACCTGGGTCTCTCGCTGCAGATCACAGAACTTGTAAAGATTCGACTGCTCCTGTCTCACGGGCCTTGATTAAAGCTCCTGACCCAAACCGTATTAAGTCATGTGGGCACTTGGCTGAGAGACATGCAGGGCTGACCCAGGAGTGGCCCCGTGACATTCTTAACACAAACATCCTCCTATTTGCTAGTTCTTAACATAACAGTAATGCATGTGAAATATTTGCTGACTGGATGAGAGGCTTTTGGGTTTTTTTTTTTTCAGTTTATAGTGAGAAATAAAGAAAATGTATTTGGGAGGAAAACGGTTTGAGTTTCATTAGGTAAGCACTCTAATCCAGAAGAGCTTTTATTTGGTTCTCCCCTCTGTGGTACACTGTAAGTCTGCATGAGGTCCAAACTTAATTTCCTGCCTCTGAAGATCTATCTCCTAGCTTTTTGTTTCAATGAATGGTGGGAGTGGAAGAGTAGCAGATACTTTAATACCGAGGTCTGGAGAGATGGCTCAGGGTGAAAGCTAGTGCTTCCAGAAGGACCCAAGTTCAGTTCCCAGCACTCATCGGCCATCTTACAAATGAGTGTCATTTCAGCTCCAGTGAAACCAGACATGCTTTACTGATCTCTGAGGGCACCTATGTGAAACTGTACATACCCTGCCCCCAAATACACATAATTAACAATAAAATAAATAAAGTCTTTCAAATAATCCAAAGAAGAGTATGGATGCCTATTAAAGATTTCTCTGAGTCAAAAAGACTATCAGTCCCAAGCTGGGGCAGGTTCTATTTCTCTGACTGAGTTTCTAGGGGGCCATCTTTTCTCTAGACAAGGTACTTATTCCAAGTAAAGAAAGTACAGCTAAAGACTGTCTTCCCACTAAAAGTAAAACAAAACAAAACAAAAAAAGGAGTTAGAATGTAAAAGTCCACCTTCTAAGTAAGAGCCAATAAATGGCTTCCAAGTCCTCCTGTCAGATGTAACAGATGCACATGTATATTTAAATAAAATACAAATACCTGCCACATTTCCACTTTCCTTTTCACTTCCTCCTTTTCAACAAACTCAGTTAAGTTTGCCAGGGCTTTGGCTGCCAGTATTCTCCTTGCTTCAGCACTCAGTTCAGGCTGCAGACCAGCATGTGGCACTGCCTCCGACAGGTATGTGCTGTCCTGGGTTTCCTGTCCATATGGGAACTGCGCCTTCGGACTGGAGCCACAGTTCTGAGGGCTGCAGGGGCTCCTGCCCGTCTCGTGAACAGGGCCTGGAACCCAACCACCAGGAGCCTCACACTGGCAGTGGGTGACTTGCTCTGGATCCTTATGGATACTTGTGAAGTTGGGTGGCACTGGTTCTCCAGGATTGTGTGAACAGGAAACACCCACAGAGAAGGTTCTGCTTCGCTGTACTTCCTTCAGAATATCCTTCCTGCACAAAAGCAGTGATCCCTCATCCTTGAGTCCTTCTAAGCCTCCACACTTTGATTGAGTCCAGAAAGAAAATGTATTTTGAACCAATGCATCCTTGTTAAAACCTAGCTCTGGTGTCGGTGGCATGTAACAGTGGCTCGTGGGCTTCTGATGCTGGAGACTATGGTCTAGCAGCTCCTGGGCAGGCACTGTCCAAGGCGTCTCCCCTTGCTCCAGGATGGCTTTGGCCTTCTTTAAGTCTGAGTCACTGTAGCTGAGCTGCCTTTTCAGATGTGTCAGGGGCTGAAGGCACTCAATATTCCTCCTCTTCCAGAGGGGGTCAAACACATGCTCATTAGAAAGAATCCCATCCTGATTCTCTAACTCGGCCACCTCTGCAGTGGGGTTAAACGGGTCAGGCACATCACTGTTTTGCCTCAGTAACTCTTGATCTAGTTGCATTGTGACCATCTCAGACACAGTCTTTTCGATTTCAGCAGAGAGTTCAGGTCCTTCTAATGTGCTCTTCATCACTATTGGCCTGTTCTCAGCCAAGTCAAGCAGCAGTTTGCAAACTAGGTGGATGATCTTTGGCACGTATTTCAGAAGTCGTGCCTCATAACCATGAAGCAGATGACGCTGGCGAATCAGGTACTGGGCTAAGGTAATAGCATGTGCTTTGGGGTCACAGCAAGAGAAAATATTACGGAGTGGAGCCAGAAACTGGGTGAATTCCCGTACACAGAGCAGCTGTCCTCTGGTTTGTATGGAATTGGGGCGTTTTGCCCGCACAAATATAATTGCTTGGTCAGCAGTCATCCTTGTTGCAAAAACTAAATAACACGCTATTAGCACACCTGAACAGTAAAGAAGATTAGTATGAGAAAGGCCTCAACCATCGTCAGTCTTTGATGATTTAAAACTTGAATACTGTTAAGAAATCATGTAAACACAAGCACATTGGACGTGCAGTAACAATGACCCTGACAGTGTTTTGCTGCAGGTTTTCATACAGGCCCTCATGGAACCTGGGCTGGCCTTAAACTCTGTACATAAGCAAGGGTGACCTTGGACTCCTGATCTTCTGGCCTCTACCTTCCAAGTGCTAGCATTGTACGTGTCCATTGTCAGGTTGGGTTTATGTAGCACTGGGCATCAAATCCAGGGCTTCATGTATGTTTGGGTAGCACCCTACCACTTGAGCTAAATCCCCAACCCCTCAAGCATTTATTACTGCCAAGGCTTTAACATGCCTTTGTGACAGTTCTCTCATGTGACTGAGTCAGCTCTGCACCCCAGAGATGCAGGTGAAGGAGTGGCAGGAGCTAAGGAGCTGCTCTAGCTAGCCCCTCCCCCAATGCTGGCATGGCAGGAAGCCAGATCCTGAGTCTGTTCCAGTGTCAGCCGCTCCTGACGTTTCCATCCAGTCCACGACTCGCTCTGCACGTAGGACTTCCTGCTCTGTCATCTCGGCTGCCCACTGCCGGGAGATCCTTGCTGGGCCTTCTCCCAGGTCGGGAAGGGTTTGCTTTGGGATTATCTACATTCACAGCCTACATCTCTGCCTGACAATTCTTCCAAACTCCATCTAAAGTAGTGTTTTACTCCAGACTACGAGATAACTCTGTCACATAAGCAGATACTATTGAGGATGTCAGCTGCGACAGTAGGAGGACTGTTATTTTCACTAGTTACTCTTGGTAAGAATTCATAATCAAGAAATTATAACACAATAGCCAACAGATCTTAATATAAAAGGCAAATCAAAAACACCTATACGATTCATAAATCTGTGGACATCTAGTTACATGTGATAACCAGAACCTCTGAGAATGGCATGGCCTCCAGTTTTCAGTAACTGTAATGCATCTTTCTCATGCAGCTAGAGCACATCTTTAGGATAAGGATAAATACCTGTGAGGTATAACATGCAGTGTCCAGGAACGAGGACGTCTGCTTTAACCTAAGAGTTATCAGTACCTACATGAGCTGTACTCCAGCCTAGGCTGCTCCTAGGCAGGCAGGATATCCCAGGCAGCGGGTATACAGTGAGGAGGTCTTGTCTGACTAAATCACACCGCAGTGAAGCTATTGACCCCCTGCCCTTTACTTTTTGTTATCAGACCAGCAATGTAATGAAGTTTGCTGAGTATTTATATAAACCAATGACTTACGTAGAACTCGACATGCAAACAGTCTCCCTTTGAGTAATATGCCAAAGTAGACAGCACACAGAAGATGAAGCCAGACAGCCACAGATGTAACATGGACCCTACCTCTCACTAAACATAGCAGATGACTTCATTTTTCTTAAACTACAGTCTATCCAACTCCTACAGTTGCTAACTACTTCAAAGACAGCAAATTCATAAATATTTAAAACATAGCAGGTGAACAGGCTTGCTACTTCAGTTGTTCTTTCAGTTAAGAAAAGTATTTTGGGGCTGGAGAGATGGCTGGGTGGTTAAGGACACTTGCTGCTCTTGCAGGGGATCCTGGTGCTCACAATGGTCTGTGGCTCTAGTCCCAGGGGACCTGACACCCTCTTTTGACCTTCATGGGCACAGAGCATGCACATGGTCCACAGATGCACATGCAAGCAAACATTCGTAGACAGAAAAATCAATCTTTATAAAAAATAATATTTAAAAACACTATTTGTTAAAATAAGGTGCTCCATTTAAATAAGCTGGTCAGTTAAGTATTTTTAGAAACATGTTTCAACACAATGAGTTTTCAGCTCTACCTAAATTATTCAGAAACACTCTTGTCAATACATGGTTATTATACAGGCTTAAGATACTTCCAATGTCATTTATTTCTTTAATTTCAAAACTTTGTTATGATCCAAAAAATATTTATCTTTAGAATTAGGAAACCTTATTCCTACTTATTTAATTATCCTCACAAAACAATAATATGCCTTCCTAGAATTCACCTGTTCGCCCGAGCCCTGCGTGGCAGTGGACAGCTACTTTTCCTTCCTGTAAGGCAAATGTCATCACCTTTACCATGTCTAAGATGGCAGTGAGGGAAGCCACGCCATAATCCTTCCACCCGAAGTTGTAGAAATAAACTAGGCAGTGAAAGGAAAAAGAAAAACAAAATTAATATGCATGAAAAATACTTACAAGGACAGTCAAAAATCAGTTCCAAGACATACATGGAGAAATGACTGAGTGAGCAGGCATGCAGGCATTTATTTATTTATTTATTCATTTATTCATTCATTCATTCATTCATTCATTCATTTTTATTTAAGTTTTTGAGACAGGGCCTCAGAGTATAACCCTGGTTGGCCCGGAGCTTTATATTCAAACCAGGATGGTCTTGAACTCACAGGGATCCACCTGTCTCTGCTTCTCAAATGCTAGGATTAAAGGCATAAGCCACAATGTCCATCTAACAGGATTTTTATATTTCTAGAAAGTTTAACTTAACAAGCACATCCTTTATTACCTAATACATTTTCTGTGAAACTCAGCTAGAAATAATTATAACAGAGTGAAATAAAAATTAAAATGGAGGTAAATAACATGTACTCATGTTTAAGAATAGAAATTCTCTAAAAGGTTAATGTATGGCTACAGAGTTTATATAGACATATATAAAGAGTCTGATTAGGGTGGAAAAAAAAGCCAGACAAATAAGTCTCTTAAGAACATGTTCCCAGACCGTGTGCTCATCCTGCTCACCATGATGAGCGAGCACACTGATGACTGATGGAATGACCACACTGACAGGACTCCCGTGATGAGCTCTGGGCTCGCCCTGAGGACATGTTCTTAGGGGCAAAGTTATTCACCTTCCAATCCTCACTGGTCTCTTTAAGCTATGTGACAGCAGACAAGTTGGTGACTCTAAGTTTAGGATGTGTGGTACAACTCTTAAGGCCAAAGTGAGGTTGTCATTTTACCTGACAGGGTACAGGCACTAACTGAATGGAGCCTTTTTGCTTCAGCATCTCCTCCCAGCTCCTCTCTCAGAGGGAAAAAGAAAGCCTGTGCTCACAACAGCAACATCAAAAGTAGCACCATTTAAAGTCAAGCTCAAACCCCATAGCTGTGCAGGCTCTACTGCTAAGTACTGACTTGCCAGTACTCCTACAGCCTGGAAGTCAAAAGCATTGTCCTTTCAGAGGGGGGTAACTCAGGGTGGGGAGAAACTTACTCCCAGCCTCCATGAACGCCTCAGGAAGGTATGTGAAGCCACTCTCTTGTTCCAGAGCGTTCCCACAGCTGGCGTGCTCTCCAGGACGCTGCAGGTTGATTATTGTTTTTATGCCTTGACTTCAAAGAAAAAAGAACAATTGGTTATAAGGAGCTGGAGTCATGAAAAATCGGATTTTAGCATTAGTAAAACATTATTAATTACTCTCAAACTTTTATTTGAAATCAGCTCTTCACTGCCTGTGTTTTTAAGTGAAGCCCTTTTCACTTGATCCCATAATCAACTAAAGAAAAGCACGTTGAATTGGTTCACCACGGCTGTGGGTGATACAGTACTTACCTGAGGAACTGCTCGATGATGTGATACTTCTGCAGCAGCTCAGAGGACGGACGAGCCATGGCCAGGATATTGTCAGTGACCCTGAAGATGGGCACGGGACAACTGAGAGGCACAGAACTCAGGAGAGTCTACATTACAGGATTAGTAACTTTTTTCTTCAATGATTTTAACTTCTATATTCTTACATCAATCTGGCTTCAACTCTACATTACAATCAGAACTATGAGAAACCTTGCAGCTCCTTAAATCCCTGGGAAAAAACTCCAGGACCTAAGTTATTTATTGATTCTGACAAAATGTCTCCAAAGGTTCTCAACAGATTCTAGTGGACATAAAAGGGAACTTCACCTTGTGCCCAAGTGCCAGTCTACCAAATGGAGGACAACTGGGAGGCTGGCACTGGACAGCAATTTGCTGAGATGGCAGAGGGGCAGTAATGCCAGACACATAGGGCTGCGTGAGAAGTCACTAGGATGTTCGTGTACAGCTCACCTTTATCACAAACCCTGGACAATGGCTATATAAATAAATACTGATGTGCCGTAATTTAGCAAAAGAAGGGGGCAGCATCCAGAATCAATTGCGCCTTACTTTAAATGCTGTTTTGTTTTTTTGCTTATCTATTTTATTTCTAGAAATTAATTAATCCCTCTGGATTACCAATAAAGTGGGATCAACATCTCACAAGGTTTTATGAAATGAGTGGTAGCTGAAAGCACCTAGTGCAAAGGCCCTCGTCCTACAATCCAATCGATGTCTATGAATCAATCAATGACAAGACAGAAGGAGTCAGAGAACACTTGGCCAGAAGAAGCCTGTCACTCTCGTTAGACCTCCCAGCCTTACTCTGTTTTCTTCAACTTTGTCATCAGGAAGCTGGTAAGGGACATGTGACATAGTCTATTGCAAGCTGTGGCTCATATGCACCTTAGAGGACTAACAGAGACAGGAGACCGACAGGTCAGTCACTCTCAGGAGCAAAGTGTAAAACTTGATTCCCAAAGACTTGAGATGCCAAAAGGCACTGGTGAGAGCAGCAGAGATGGGAAAGGCTCGCATGAATGAGCTGACAACTAAGCAGTGTTCATGGGAGCTATGCTCCAGCAGACGTTTGCTTGTCTGGTTTGACTTGGGAGTACCTGTCTCCTCATAGCATTAGGGTTAGGCTTGACTATGGTGCACACAGAACACTAGCAACAGTGTACCACAGTACAGAGCCACGTTGTAGTGAAACACAGTAAAGGAGCCTTGTACTCACAGAGATCTAAATGCCTCTGCTCCCTGAGTGCTGGTATTAAAGCATCATCACACTCAGCTCAAACACAATTCGATTATCAGTATTTTCCAAATCACAAATACACACCCGACTAGCTCATTGCTACTACGTATGTATGACTTAAGGACAGAATGGATTGCACTTATGCACAAGAAACAATGGCAGCATCTTATGGGTTTCCTGATGAACTAGCAGCCTAGGCCACTTCAGTCAAGGAAGACTGGAGTACAATTCATAATAGCATACAAATGATGTGAACACAGACCTTATCTGAGGTACATCTGAGGATTATACATGGACCACGTAATTTGCTCATACTTACAGCTGACCATTTTTATTACTTCCAGCAAATTTTGAAATTTAAGAGCTATCTAATTATCAATTAACTTAAGACACTTCATACATATTTCACTCAATGTAAAGCTTTGGGCTTCATCAATTCCATTTTGTAAGTGAGAAACTAAGGTTGAGTAAGCCAGTATTGTATCCCACAGCTGGCCTACTGGTAAACCCCAGGATGTGTGTAAGATGCCCTGAATTCCAGGCCTACGTCTCTTCCACAGACCCTGCTGCTGGCTCCTAAGCATTCTTGCTTCCTTCCACCCCACAGAGCTGTGCCAGACCCACAGCCACTTACCAGGATGAGTAAACTCCCTTAATGGCTTGCTCCTGCTCACTCCAGCGGGCTGGGTTCTCATACTTACATGCTCTCCCACCACAGGCCATGGAGCACGCCATGTGCCCGGGGATGACATGCCGTAAACGTTCTCCCACTTTTGTGTATTTTGGAGTTGGGCGTTCTGAATTTTCTAGAATATACAAGGAAGGTCAGGGTCAAGATTCTATCCTTCCAATAGTATGGTAACATGGGAAACAGTTTCATTTTCCCTCAGGATTGTACATGAGCTGCTGTCAATCTGTTCATTTAATATTAAAAAGGCTTTCACAGGCAATAATTTCTACATATTAGGTTGATAATGAGAATAAAATGCAAAAGCTCATCTTTTTCAAGAGGATGAATTTTGTTCAAAACTATACTTTTAACAACAAAAGAAATCCACAAATCATCCCACCATTTATCCCCTCGTACACATCCATTTGGTCTTAGCATACACAGAGTAAGAAGCATAAACACAATTAACTGTCAACATTCTAAAAGTACAGTCATAACTATCTTACACTTAGACACAGGGGTAGCAAATTATAAGAAAGAGTTTTACTTTTTCTCTCCGGGAAACTTGGAGTCCCCTGTGTACGGCTGACAGAAGACACAGCCACCATCACCTGAAGAGAAGATGAAGACAGCAGCTTGGTGGCAGAGCCAGAGCCACGCCGGGCTTGCTGTAGCCTCACGACTGGGTCAGACGTGGAGTGCCGGCGGCCCTGCAGAAAGGCACTGAGGAAGTGCACGGCCGAGGGCCTCCGGGATGGGTCCTGCATCTGCATGGCACTGGCTCCAGACAGGCAAGAGTAGGAGGCAGGCAGAAGCCAGCTCTGGCTTGCTCAGTGAGTAGCTACACTGAGACACAGGCATCGGTCTGTATGATCTAAGAGCTTTTCAGGATAGGCTGATTCGTTTCCATAGTGACCAACAAAGAAACTACTGATTCCCACTTAGATCTGAACAGGCAAAAATCCTACACGAGCGGATTGTGTTTTGGACAAATTGTTCAAATACTGGGAAGAATAATATGCATTTAAAGTAGATTGTTTTTAAATCTAGATTATTTTGCTTTTCAAAAGCATTTAAAGATCTGACTCCTCAAAAATTCACTTCCAAAATACTGTAATGAATTTTAAAATGTTTTTATGATAAAACACTGCCTTTTACACACATTAAAAAGTTTACATTTTGTTATGCTTTTCATAGCTTGTCCAGGTATTTTAAAAGAAAATCCTTCTACTTTTCTTTGGAACAGGATAGAAAAAAGTTTATTGTGATACAGAGGCATATGCTAGATCCTACAACATTATTAAAAGCTCATTCAATATTTCAGAGCCACTGCCTTCCTCTGCTTTCTTGATAGAAACACTTGGATGGAACAAATAAAGTCATTTTAGAGCTAAGAAGACGTTTCATTTTTTTACTTTGAGAAGTGAAACCCCGATTCTTGTTTATACGCTGTTGCTGGAAGCAACTTAGTTGTGAGCCAGAGTAATTATGAGCAGGCATGCCTTTCCAAAGTTCAAAACTGTAATTCTCTGCCTTTCGTTGCTAGGGGAGAAAAACTGCTTCTGAGTCTTGGTGGAGGCATCTGAATAAAATTCACTAAAGTATCACATTTTTAAAGGCACTGGGTGAGGGGGAGGTGGCAGTTTGAGAATAAAGGATATAAAGAAAACAGAAACTCAACAACTGCAATGCACTTATTGTCCGCCTCCTCTCTTGTTAATGTCAGGCTGTGCCCGCGCTCTCTCCTGTGCTTGCTGCACAAAAGTACTTCAGTGGTATGCGGATGGAAACATAACTACTGCTATAGATTAGGCTCCAATCTATGCTTTTAAAATTCCACCCTCATAGCCCTGGCATTGTGTACTTTTGTGAAACAAGATGGAGACAGAGAGGTCTAATTTGACGCTCCAATTGTTACTTTATCTGTGATATCACACGGAAATGGAAAAGGATTCTACCTGCTCCCCCCTTTCAGGAAGCAGTTATTCTGCCTGGAAGAATGGCCTGAAAAATATTCTCAACAAGGCCTACTAGACCCTTAGAATTATATATGGCAGTTCCATGGAGTTACATGAGAGGAAAGCATAGAAGATACTGGAAGAAACCAAAGAGGGGCCTGCAGGCAGGAGGCCTAAGGGCTGTGCTTGTTCCTGGGGTGACAGAGTCTGAGAAGACCTCTGAGCAAACCCCTGGTATTCTGGGCAGGCAGGCAGCACATGGAGAGTCTGAAAGAGACAAGTATGGGAGCTCCCTATGACCTGATGAGGACGGGAGCTATGGATGGGAGACCCTGCATGGGGTGGACTGCCGCGGTGCCACCATGGAGCTGGGAGTCCAGCTCAAGTGACTAGCAGATCTTTCAGCTGGTTCACACAGAACTTATGTACAGGTGGTGGGAGAAACCTTCAAGCTCTGTGGCAGGCACAGATATTTAAGGCAACAGGGAGGAGGTGCCAGTCAGTGAGTGATTCCAGAAAACAGGCACTGAAGGATGTCTACAGAGGGAACTAAAAGTGGCTCTGCTCCAAACTGTACTAAAATCCAAAGTGATCTGATGCAGGGGACTTAGCTAAGGAAGGGATGGTTTCTCTATCACCTCAGAGACAGCTTCTGCAGCTCACCCATAGCTCAGGGAGCAAAATCATGTTTGTGTTGTAACTTGTAACTCCCTCCCAAGTGTGAGATACTTCAAAATGAAAACAAACTCTCTAAAAGATACTGCAGTTAAAACCCAAGGGTCTGTGATATGCACTGCTCAGCAAATACAATTGTAGAGTCTACTGTAAATGGACCATCAGAGACGCCAGCGAGAACAATTCAGTGGACCCCAGAGGCAGAGGCCAGAGTGGATGTGAGATTAGACAAGCAACAGAGAAGGCTGTGAGAGTCAGCAGAGGTGTGATTAAGACTTAGCTGTGACAGGAAGAGAAGGGCCTCAGAAGAATTATAGTCAAAAGTCTAGAGACAATCACAGGTAGTAGGAATTCGGGGGGCAGTGAGTTAAAATCAGGACAGTGTTGGAGAAGCTCTGTCTTTAGAGATTTGAAAACATTGCAAGTTCAAGGAATGATTCAGAGGAGGAATTAGAATTAATGCTGATAGAGAAACAGACTCTGACCCAACAGCTAGTTGTTTTATAGGAAGTGAACCTCCTATCATATGAAAGGAACGCAAAGCTGGAAAGTCAGCACCACAGGCAAACTTTGCCTGTGGCTCATCTGGGGACCAAGAACATGAGTGTGTGGACCTCTGTTCCCCTAGACCACCGAGAAGGCTTCCTGCCATATGGGTTTGTCTGAACTGGAAAGAGCCCTTGCTGAAACCCTGAACAAAGAAGAAAACGCCCAGTCCTTGGAGGGCTAGGCCTGCCTGGGATGCTTGGATGCTTGGGATGTGACCCACCAACTGGAACAATCAAAGAGGTAAAGCCAAGTACACACTTGCTACTCCTGAACTGGCTTGTTTTCCTTGTGCTGATCAAGAGAATGTATAATTTTGCATTTTGTATACGATATCTCAGTTTTCTCTTAAGTATTACTCTAAGCTTGGTTCTGCCTAGCTGCAAGCAGGCGGTGGTCACACGAGCCGTTAGCTCCGACCCTGGCCAGGCATCTGCTGTCACCACACTGAGGCAGTGGTTGTGGGAGGAGCCCAAAGGCACAGGATGGTCCTGTGGATTACATCTAATTGTGTTTCTCTGCTTTCTCTTGTAGCATGCCTTCTTCTTCTAACAGTAGCATGTTTGGAAGTGGAGAGAGGAGAGAGATGGCAGCCTAGTGTCCTGTGCTTTATGTTCACAAAGTGAAGGAAACCAAACATTCTTTCCTGCGTGCTTCTTTGGACAAAGCATTGTCAGCAGAGAGGGAAGCATAGGTGAGTTGTTAGAGGTGTGTGAGGATGTGACATCGGTGTGGTGCGTGTGATCTGCACATAAATTCTAATGATGAGGAAGAGGGACACTCAAGGATGAGCAGGCTGTACAGTGCTAACTTGCTAAAGATTCGCTCTGCAAACTTCTTCACCTATGAAGTGTCTAGAAAGTATGGCTCTTCAAAAGATTACTCTCGTACTAAAATACTTCCATGTTATGCAAGCCTTGAAATGGACACTGAAGTCGATTTTTGATTCTGTCACCTATAACCGTGGCTTTTGGATTAAAGTTTGTATGTGGCCTAAGGCACAGACCCAACATCAGTCGTTTGAATGTGAATAAGCCAGTGTTTCTGTTATCCTTTGTCGAGCAGAATACCATCGCATATGGAACTGTCTTGCTACACTCGTCATACATTCAAAGATGATTTCTGGCTCTTCATTCTATTACACTATGTTTGTCTTTATTTTGATGAATGCAGCATTGCATGAAAGTTTTAAGACTAGGAAATAAATCTGTTTTGTTATTTTTCAAGATCATTTTGCCTGTTTGGAGGGCCTTTGAGGTTCTTCCTACACTCTGGATGGATTTTTCTTTCCTATGCCTAGGGGATTTCAATAGGGATTGTGTTCACTCTTTAGATCATCAAAACATCAAAACATTGCTGCCTTCTGGCCCAAGAATAGCCAGTCTGGGCCCTTGGTTCTCCTTACTAGTCTTCTCCATTTCCAGTGTAGCATACTGAGAATGTTAAAGACCGAGTCACCCTCACTCCACTTCGTCTGTAGGTGTGGCATACCACCTCAGGAAAGCCATGAAAATCAGACACTCTTGCCTGTGCTCTGTGAAAGGCAGGAGCGTTACATGTTACAGAATCAGCCAGTGCTCTTGTCCTAGGCTCCAGAACCACAGCTAGGGGGTTCTGCTTAGAGGGAAGCAGACTTTAAAAGAAAGGACTCAGCCAGAGATGGAGGATCTTGCCTCTAACCATATGCAAGAGGCTGAAACAAAGGATGATTATGAATTTGAAGCCAGCCAGTGCTAAACCTTTCCTTAAAGCAAACAGCAACAACACCAATAACAGCGAATGGTAGAGCTCCTCCCAAAGCAACTGTCTCCATCTGAAACAATGTATGGGAAATTCAAGCATAAGGTACTAGCGAAGGTTGTGGTGTTAAAGGTGTAAGAAGACCCCTGTAGCTTATGAGAACAAGATAAACCACACATCAGTTAGCCTGTCAGAGAGAGAGAGAGAGAGAGAGAGA